AGCCCGGTAGGGTACCACTCCTGAGGTATTCAGCAGCAGGACTGGACATATTATGTTGTCCTCGCAAACACAGAAGGCAGAACTGGGGGCAGAATTCAGCTTCTTGAAACTCCCTGTTCCCATTTTTAAAAGCAAGCATCTAGGTCATATTTGTTAACCCTTGACATTGCATGAGACATGCCGGGGGCCTCTGGGTATGATTTCTAGGGGCCCTTTGCCTTCCCCAATGCTATCTAAAGTAGAATGAATGGTGCCGAATAAGGTCAAAATCAGGAACTCTGCTTAATCAGTGCAACTTCTGCAATTTAGAGGATTTATCTTTCCTTGGGAGAGAATTTTCAGAATTTAAAATATCTTGAGAAGCAAATTAATCTTAATCCAGGGGAAACAGATGATGAGACATATTCGAAGAAGAAGGAAGTTTCGGCAAGTTGCGACAAGGAAGGGACAAGGAAATAACACAATAGCACCGTTTCTGCTTTTGTGGTGTTGGGGGTTTGTGATGACCCGTGGCCAAAATAACAAGAATACCAACTGGCTGGAAGCGCAAGGAAGAGGAATTATGGCAGACAGGAAAAGCATCTGTGGGAACTATTGGTGGATTAATTAAAGTTGCAATCAATGGGCCAGGTTTTTACTTTCCAAGAACTGTTGCCTTTTATGTTTCCTTGGGACTCCCCTCTAGAGCACTTCATAACAGCAGAACTATGGCCCGTTCTAAAATTCAAGATTCCTTCGATGTTAATGATCCAACTGTTCTTGTGCCTACAATTAGCATGTCTCCAGTTAAGGAAGTGGAGCTGCGGTGGCTCAAGTGGTTAAGACGCTGAACTGCAGGCTGTGGAAGTCAGTAGTTCAGCAGTTCGAGACCTGAGTTGCCGCATGACGGAGTGAGCTCCCGTCTCTGGCTCCAGCTCTTGCCAACCGAGCAGTTCGAAAGCAAGAAATTGCAAGTAGATAAATAGGTTCCACTTCGGTGGGAAGGTCACAGCGTTCCGTGCACCTTGGTGTTTAGTCATGCCGGCCACATGACCACGGAAACGTCTTCGGACAGCGCTGGCTCTTCGGCTTTGAAACGGAGATGAGCACCGCAACCCTAGAGTCGGACTCGACTGGCTTTCGAGCAAGGGAACCTTTACCTTTACCTTTACAGTTAAGGAAAGTAAATTGGTGTGCCAACTGCCAACGAACCAACCACGTGGCCGTCCCAAGATGTGTTCTTGGGGCAGGTGGTTCAGAGCGTTCTGTCCCTGACGGATGTCTTGCTGGTTCCTTTAGGGTTAACCAGCTGACCAGGAAAAAAACAGACTTGCCTGCTCTTGTGCCTTTAACGCCTACCTGATCTTCTGAATTCAGTCAGGGGAACTTTTCACAGCATGAAGAACAACACCATCACCTGCTAATGCTGGGCACCTGTTGGCTAGAACAGCGGGCTGAAAGGTTGTACAGCCATATTGGCTGAAGCGAAATCCAAAGACAAGAATGAAATCCATGCCAGAACTTTCATGAGAACCGACTAAATTGGCACAAGCTTCCGAGCTCACCAGAACTCTTCATCAGGCTGGATGTTACAAAATTTTTAAAAAGACAGAATTCAGATTCACTGCCACAGGAAGTGGTGGCGGCTACAAGCATGGACGGCTTCAAAAAGGAATTAGATAGGCATATGGAGCAGAGGTCCATCAGTGGCTATTAGCCACAAGGTATAGATAGGGGCTCTGGGGCAAGTGATGCTCTGTCTTCTTGGTGCTTGGGGGGACCAACAGTGGGAGGGCTTCTAATGTCCTGGCCCCAATGGTGGACCTCCTGATGGCACCTGGTATTTTTGGCCACTGTGTGACACTGGGGGTGCGTTCAGACGGGGCATTTACAACGGTTAGGGTGCCGGTTCCAACCGGTGTACTTACGAGCGTTCACACGGCGAACATCTGCCTCCCGTCCCTAACCGTTGTAAGTCCCCTTTAAACCGTTGCACTCTGCCACTAGGTCCCAAGTGGTGGTAAACTGAGTGCAACGGTTGAAAACGGTGCACCCCGGCGTCTGATCGCTCTCCAAACGTTATACAGCCACTTCCGTGGGAAGCCTGAGGCTTCCGGCTTTCCCCCGCCATTTTTTTAAAGTCCTGGGAATCATAACGGTCTATGTAATCCAAAACATCTATGTTCCCAGGCTCTGAAGAAAAGCAAAATCCAGCAGACTAAAGCAATCCTCCTTATCTCACCACCTGCCCTTGAAGTGTTTTGCGTTTCACTAACAAGCTGCTCATTTGTGAGCATGCACTTGGGATGCTAGGCAACAACTGTCAACATATGACCTATTACAGAAAGAAAAGTAGGGTTAAGGGCACTTACAGGTTAAGCATATATACATCTGATCAAACATGGCAGCTTGCTGACACCAGCCCTCGCCTCCCCTCCCCGGGGGGCCATCCTGCTGCGGGGCTTCCCCAGCGCTTGCACCACCACCTTGCAGAGGATCGGGGAGATGGCTTTGCTTTTGCACGAGGTCTGCCTTACTTCCCCGTCCTGCCAAGTGGGCTGCCTGAAGCTCGGCGCTGCTGGTCTCCAGCGCCCTTGCCCGCCACCGACCTACCCCCACCTGCCTTCCCCCTCGGCTCCTCCCTGGCTTTGTATCTTTGAACTGAGAAAGGGGGGGGTCGCTGAGTTGCATATGTATGCGTTTTTTGGGAGAGGAGAGGGGGGAAAAGATTTGGGGTGGGGGGGAAACTGGCCCTCTGTTGAAAACCCTGTATCCAGGGAACTGGTTGCATTGGAAGAAAAAAGGAAGAGAATGGGCTTTAGGACCCCTCGGACTCCCAGCTGCCTCTGGCTGTCCCTCTCACCACTCTGTGGATGGCTGCCTATGCGCATGTTCAAACGGAGGTTTTTTTTAAAAAAACGCCGATGCCTGCTGCGTGTGAACAGGCATACAGCGATGGGCTTCGCTGTGAGGGAGGTAAGTGTGATCGCGTTTCAGCTGGCATAAACTGCACCGGTTCCAACAGGTACAGTTTATACTGGCTTAAATGCCCCGTCTGAACGCACCCAGAGTGTTGGACTGGATGGGCCTTTGGCCTGATCCAACATTGGCGTCTCTTATGTTCTTATGTTCTTAAGGGTGGAAAGCAGATTTGTCAGGTTGTGATGTTAACACAGGACTTGCACACGTCCGATCAGCGCTTAATGTCATGGCTTGAAAAATCTGCATTCCACCAGGTGCGCGTCTATTAAAGTGCCCTCAACCTGCTTCTGATTTACAGCCACTCTGTGATTGAATGACTTCCAAAACATACTATCATTAACAGCCTTGCTCAGGTCATGCAAACAGAGGGCCTTTGTGGCTTCCTTTGGTAAGTCCCTCCATCTCATGTTGGGTCTTCCTCTTTTCCTCCTGCCTTCAACTTTCCTTACCATTATTGCCTTTTAGGGCTGCCAGGTCCCCTGGGGGGGGGGTTGCCTGCTCAAAGGGCCCCCGACCCGCCGGCCCAGATCTGGCCGATGGGGGGAACCCGGACGTGATATCATGGTGGTGGTCACATCGCTCAAGTATTCGGCCTGAAAACTCTATGGTATCATAGAGTTTTCAAGCTGAATGCTCGAGCATCCACTGGCGATGTGCCTAGCACAATGACGTCACTTCCAGGAGATGTCATCGCGGTGCGCACACATGAATGTCCCAGACCAAGACCTAAGCGACCTGGAAACCCTATTGCCTTTTCCAGCGAGTCCCGTCTTCTTGTAATGTGACCAAAGCCTCAGTTGAGTCATTTTGGCTTCTCGAGGGAGTTCATGCTTGAGTTGATTTATAGCCCATTTATTTTTTCTTTTTGGTAGTCCCATAAAACTCTCCTCCAACACCACATTCCAAAAGAATCAACTTTCTTCATTGTCCAGCTTTCACACCCATCCACTATACTATTTTGTTAAAAAATCAGCAACATCCAACCTGATGGACCGTTCTGGTGAGCATGAAAGCTTCAATCCTAGCCTGATCTCACCAGACCTCAAAAGCCAAGCAGGGTTGGCTCTGGGTAATATTTGGATGGGAGCCCTCCAAGGAATATCAGGGTCATTACACAGAGGCAGGCAATGGCAAATCGCCTCTAAACGTCTCTTGCTTTGAAAACCCTTTGAGGTCACCGTAATTCGGCTTCGACTTGACGGCAAAAAAAAAATACTACTTGGGTTTCATTCTTGATTTTGGTTGGTTGAAACGTTACTGACCATACTTTCCATTCACCATAAGAGCTAGGGTTGCCAGCCTCCAGGTGGGGCCTGGGGACCTCCCGTTTTTACAACTGATCTCCAGCTAACAGAGATCAGCTCCATGGAGAAAATGGCTGCTTTGTACCCTGATGAGGCCCCTCCCCTCCCCTCCCCAAACCTCGCCCTCTCCCGGATCCACCCCCCAAGGTCTCCAGGTATTTTCCAACCCAGACCTGGCAACCCTAATAAGAGCACTGGGGAATGTTGAACTGGATTCCATAATAATGGTATTGAAGCCGGTGAGAAAGAGTTGTTGTTGTTGTTCAGTCGCACAGTCGAGCCCGACTCTTCGCGACCCCATGGACCAGATCACGCCAGGCCTTCCGGTCTTCCGCCGTCCTCTGACGTTTGCTCAACTTCATGTTCGTTGCATCTATGACACTGTCTAACCATCTCATCTTTTGCCGTCCCCGTCTTCTTTGACCTTCAATCTTTCCCAGCATCAGGGTCTTCTCCAGGGAGTGCTCCCTTCTCATTGGGTGGCCAAAGTGTTTGAGCTTCAGCTTCAGTATCTGGTCTTCCAGGGAACAGTCAGGGTTGATTTCTTTTAGGATCGACTGATTTGATCTCCTTGCCGTCCAAGGGACTCTCAAGAGTAGAGTCAAGCAAACAGAGAATTGGACCTTGGGAGAATGACATTCGTTTGCTTCATTCATTTGGTACAAAGCAGATGTGCCCGCGTGCGCACCCCCAGCATGCATTGCTCCAACACTCGTCTGTGTCTCTCTTCTGCAGGAGGATTTGGAGCACCCCGAGCATCCTGGGGAGGCACGTGCTGCCGCCGAAGACGATGCCCCAGTGGAAGCCACAGAAGCCAGTGCCGAGGTAAAGCACAGTCACAGCCCAGCTAACCCGAGAATCCTTGGCTGGTCTGGGGTTGTTCTCGCCATCTATTGTTCTTTCCTTACTTTCTCTGTGCTGAGCTGGTTTCCATTTCTTTTCTGCATACAGGTGATTTCAGATCTTTTTTCTCTGCTGATCGTTTATGCAAAAAAAAAAATGCTCACCTTTCGTTTCCCATTTGCAGGACCGCTTGGGGGCCCTTTAGATTTCAAACAGATCACGCAGGGCTCTTTTTGTAGCAGGTACTCATTTGCATATTAAGCGACACACCCCTAATGTAGCCAATCCTCCAAGAGCTTACAGTAGCCCCTGTAAGAAGAGCTCTGTAAGCTCTTGGAGGATTGGCTACATTAGGGGGGGTGTCGCCTAATATGCAAAGGAGTTCCTGCTACAAAAAGAGCCCTCGATATAGGTGTTTTCCTCACGGGGACGGGCTCCTGTCATTTCCTTGTTGCCGCTGCACCTGCTTAATACAGTGAGGTGGCAACAGGGCTTCCACGCAGCAGTTTCCCCTGTTAGTTTTATCCCATTGGCAATTTAATAGCATTATATCGATATACCGTTAGACCAAAATATGCATCAAATTCTCTGAATTCCCAGCATTCATTATTATTATTATTAAAAAGTAAGTCTCTAGCCCATTTCATCATGGAGATATGCTTTTATCCTTGTATTGCTGCAAGGAAAGGGGATAGAGCCTTACGGGTTTTTTTTTTTTTTTAATGAGCTGATTGAAAATTGAAATATAAGCAATACTGTCCTATCAAACTTAAATGCTATTGCTTTAACAACATGAAACACATTGTTTATAAAATTGCATATTGGACATATTTGTGGAATTTAATAGTTATAACAGCCTTCATTTTGTACAAGCAAAATTGCAAATATGCACAGTACTTGAGAGAAAACTGCACGTTGATGCATCCTAAGCTACCTTGGGGCAATAAGCTACCTTTTACCCAGTCTGCGGGGATATGTGTCACAGTGGTTTGAGGGAGAGGTGAAAAGGCCAGCTGCATCTGGTCAAAAGGACAACAGAAGGCATGCAACTGTTGAGAAGCAATAAAAGCCCTGCATGTTCCCTTCATGAAGATTCGGTATTCTTCTAGGAAAAGAAATGCATCCTGGATTTAATTAAGAGTGATATATGTCTACAGCATGCCCACCTTGTCTTTAAAAGCATTTCACTTGATCTGAAAGAGAAAATATTTCATAGGGGTTTTTTCAATCTTCTCCCAAATTTCCGAATTTTTCATTGGGAAAAAATAGAAAAAAGGTCTTGTGAAAAAACTGGGGGAAGGGTTTTCCCCAAAAAAAGTTTCCGCTTTTTCACATCTCTGTTATGGCTGTATGAATACCAGTTAATATAATAATGTTTTATTATTGTAAAAATTTGTTTGTTTGTTTTGGGGGGGAAAGCTTTTTATTACTTTATTATTACTTTACTTTACTTTAATGTGTTTTCTTGCATTTTAATGGAGATACAACAAAGAATGAGCTCACAACAGAAAACAATCATATGTAAGTGGGCATCCAACCCAGCTATAGTTCTCTTCTAGCATTCCTCCAATCAGATAAGGATCGGCTGAGGTAGATAAAAGACAATGCAGGGAAGGAACATGCACAGAGTAGTTTCATTATAGCCTATTTTTTCCACTCACAGTTTGAAGGGCACATAAATTAGATCCTGCAGATTGGCTCAGGAAAGGAGAGGGTTGCTACATGTCACAGCTGGGATCTTGTCCCTTATTTTCATTTCAGCGATGATTTTAAACAACCCAGTTTGAATCAAGAGCACCTCAGCTGTGGCTCATGGAACTCACCCCTGAGGGCTGGTATAGACGTTATCGGTAGAAGCCCGAAAGCTGTTGTGAGGAAGCTCTGTCCACATAGTTTCTGGCAAAATTTTAAAAAATGACAATCATGTGGTCAAGGATGTGATTACCTCCCAAGACAGGTGTTGCCCATCCTGGAAATCCTAATGTACATACCATGTTCTTGGGTATCTAACACCAGTGCCAAGTCTTCTACCTTACCACTCCAGTTGCCTGAACTTTTAACAGCCCTAACAATATTTTATTTGGTCCATGTCTGCAACATGCTAATATGGACAGTCCCAGATAAAGTCTGTTGTAACTCGAGATCAGGCAGCTCTTTCTTTAATCAGTGATTTCAGCTTATTAGAACAGAACACAGAACAACACAGAACAACCCCAACTTATATACAGTTTGGAACTGGCTAAACCACACCTCTAGAACAGTAAGGTCCAATCATAAGTGAGTGCTTAGGACCAATAGGGTTTGTTCCCGCCGAAAGTCATAGTCTTCCCTGATTGGTCCATTGCACAATGGCAGCCAATCGGGCTGTTGATTTTAGGACACTGAGAGTCTATGGAGCTTGTGACTGAAGCTCAGGCTCATTCTACAATTCAGGCTATCCATTTAACACAATACATAACGAAGTCTGTGAGTGTCTGAAAACTCTGAACGACTATAGAATCATAGAATCATAGAGTTGGAAGGGATCTTGCAGGTCATCTAGTCCAACCCCTGCACTCTGCAGGAGCATAGCCAAAAGATAGCCCTACAAACCTACATACCTACAACATACCCGAAAGATGGTCATCCAGCCTCCGCTTGAAAACATCCAGCGAAGGAGCATCCACCACCTCTCGAGGCAGACTGCTCCTCTGCTCAACCACTCTTGCAGCTAGGAAGTTTCTCCTGATATTTAGCTAGTATTGACTCCCTTGTAATTTCCACCTATTAGATAGTCTTGCAATCCGGAATAGATCCACTCCATCTTCTACATGACAGCCCTTCAAATACTTGAAGATTGCAATCATGTCCCCTCAAAGCCTTCTCTTTCCCAGGCTAAACATACCCAACTCTTTCAGCCTTTCCTCATAAGACTCTACTTGATAAACATCTCAATATGATCTGACAAAAGGGAGATATGATCCTCGAAAACCTCTACCCCTAATATCTTCTACCCCTAAAATCAGCCACCTTCTGAAACCATCAATACGATTGTCACCACGCCTTGAAGAAAGAAGTGCCTGTTCAGGAAGGCAAAATTAAATCTCGGATTCTTAACATTCATTATGTTTCAGGCAAATTGTATTATATAATCTCAGGGTTGTTCCAGATTATCCCTTTTAGTAAAATGTGGGGGGGGGGCAGAATGTCCTCTTCTAGAATTAGCTCTTCCACTGGGCCAGAGCATGGGGGAATGGGGTGTGTGGAAGAGCACCAAGTAGGCCTGTGCTGCCCCCAGCCAGCGTTTAACTGTAGTTAAGTAGAACTGCCATATATCTTTAAGAGCAGTTGCCCCTGGGAATTGAAGTCTTTAGTTAGACATCCCAAAGCAGTCCTGTGACTGGCTGATTAACAGTCATTTCCTGCACCCAGAGGTGCGGGGATTTGAGTTTATAGCTCTCTTCCCATTTCTTTGTCTACTCTTTAAACTGCAAAGGAGGTGAGAGCACGCAATCTTTTTCACCATGAGCCAGTGAACTGAATTAGATTACAAAGATGTGAATTTCACCAGTTATTCAGCTTGAATTAGATCACAATTAAAGCTGAATAACTGGTGAAATTCACATCTTTGTAATCTAATTTGGGATGTCTAACTAAAGACTTCAATTCCCAGGGGCAACTGCTCTTAAAGATATATGGCAGTTCTACTTAACTACAGTTAAACCCTGGCTGGGGGCAGCACAAGGCCACAATGCCAGAAATGCACATTCATGATGGTTTCATCATGGAGCTCATCTTGTTCTTCTTTGGATACTCAGTTTACAGTACTATTATTTCTTGTGACATACTTAAGATGGACATTATTATAACTGCACTTTGCTTCACTGATGATAAGAATCAACATGGATGGTCCCTCCAAACAAACTTGAAGTCATGTACTCAATGTTATAGTCTGATTCTGGGTTTATTTAAGTCAGGCGACGGATTCTTCAAAGTCACATTCCTGTTCCCCTAGCTCTTCTGGAATTATGTAGCGTGGATGTGGAAACCCTGGCTGCCTGTCCTTCAGGATCCCAGGTGCGGGTTTGGTTCGTTCTGCAAATTAACCGGTTCTCCTGTCTTTCTTCTTCCCAGGGTGAAAATGAAGGCAATTAACCCTCCTCGGGTCTTCTAGTGTGAAAAACTGAGACTCCTGGGAATAAATACAGAAATGGTAGCTGGCACCAGAGCAGGGAAATCACCCACAGCCTAGGCTAACTTCATTCAGCACTCCAGTCTTTTTCAGTTGCCTCATTACCGACACATCCTAGATGTCTGGCAGACTCCCAGTCACGTGTTGTAGGGTAACTGTGCGCTGCGCACCTTGTGTCCCTCCCTTGCCATCCGCTGTTGTGGCTTCCACCCTTGCCCCTCTTCAAGCCTTCCGAGAGTGCCACGTTGGTAGCTGCGGTTTGGCGCAGCTGTGGTCGGAATCGCTGGTTAATGTCTTCTGCCCGTTAGCATCAGCACTCAAGATCCTTAGATATGGTGGACGTGTTTTTTTTCTAAAGAGACATAATAAAAACAACTTGTTTCAACGACGTCTTTGCTTTGTCCTTTGTTGGTTTATCCAGCCGATCCAGCCGTCAGCCAGGTCTGTTGTGTCGGTCTTTACAGTTCTAAGGTTTGAATTCCCTGTGACGGAGACAGGCCTGTGTCTTTATATGTGGGACTGTCCAATTCTAGTATATAGCAGGGCTCTTTTTGTAGAAAAGGGTCCAGCAGGAACTCATTAGCATAACAGGCCACACCTAACAGCAGGAACTCATTAGCATATTGGGCCACACCCCTGACAGCACAGCTCATTAGCACATTGGGCCACACCCCCATGTTACCAGAAGTGTGGTTATCCAGCCACCCCCACCTTTTGCTTCTTATTCTGTTTACCTTGTTTGTGGTCAAAACCCAGGGCTTTTTTTGTAGCAGGAACGCCTTTGCATGTTAGGCCACACACCCCTAATGTAGCCAATCCTAATGAGTTTCTGCTGTTGGGTGTGGCCTGTTACGCTAATGAGTTCCTGCTGGGCATGGCTAACTTGGGAGCCAGCCGGAACGCCGTTCCTGTGCGTTCCTGCCCAAAAATAGCCCTGGTATATAGTGTGGGGAGAGGGGTTACGGGTACAGGTGGGAGATCCTGACCCCTCCCTTGCCTCCTCTTTCTCCTACCACAAATCCCACCCACTAGGCTCTTCAATGGAGACCATCGGGGGGGGGATGATTTTCATCACTTAAGCACTCTCTACCCATGTGCCCCTTCGTGACTTTAAATTGCCCCCCCTCCAAAAAAAAAAGCCGTGATTGGTAACAACCCACATTTGAAGGCACGGACCTGCAGTCCTTGATATGACTGCATGCACTGCATTGGTTTTGACTACCAAAAGAGTGGTATGAAAAAGGAATGTATCGTTTAAGTGTTGGTTGTAATCTAAATGTAAGGACGAGGAGCCATTTTCAGACTGCAGAACAAGCGATGGGCAACTAAGAATGTGACATAGATTGAGAAGAAGGACATGGACAATGCTCCCTCTAAGCTGTGAAGTCTTGTGAACAAAAATTCTACTTTGTGAGCGGCTGGCATGAAATCGGTGAGCGAGCGATTTGGCTACTGCATCAATCAGTTTGCTCTGGAGCCGTCCCTCCTGAGCGAAGGCAAAAAGGTGTGAGCCGGAGGCTAAAGAATGGTGAGCTAGCTCACACTATCTCAGCTTAGAGAGAACACTGGACATGAATGCGAAAGACAGGAACAGGCAATGCTCTGGTGAGTGTGGGTAATAGCATCATGAAAAAATCGGAGTAAACTAGAACTGACTGTACTTTGCTGTATGAATACTTATGTCAGTGCTGTCAAGTTGCAAATGACGTATGGAGACCCCCATACGACAAGGCAAGTTTTTAAGACAAGTATTTAAGCAGAGGGGGGTTGCCTTTGCCTTCCTCTACGAAGGTCCTCCTTAGTGGGCTTTCAAGGCAAGTATTTAAGCAGAGGGGGGTTGCCTTTGCCTTCCTCTACGAAGGTCTTCCTTAGTGGTCTTTCAAGACAAGTATTTAAGCAGAGGGGGGTTGCCTTTGCCTTCCTCTACGAAGGTCTTCCTTAGTGGTCTTTCAAGACAAATATTTAAGCAGAGGGGGGGTTGCCTTTGCCTTCCTCTATGAAGGTCTTCCTTAGTGGTCTTTCAAGACAAGAATTTAAGCAGAGGGGAGTTGCCTTTGCCATCCTCTACGAAGGTCTTCCTTAGTGGTCTTTCAAGACAAGTATTTAAGCAGAGGGGGGTTGCCTTTGCCTTCCTCTACAAAGGTCTTCCTTAGTGGTCTTTCAAGACAAGTATTTAAGCAGAGGGGGGTTGCCTTTGCGTTCCTCTACGAAGGTCTTCCTTAGTGGTCTTTCAAGACGAGTATTTAAGCAGTGGGGGGGTTTGCCTTTGCCTTCCTCTACGAAGGTCTTCCTTAGTGGGGTTTCAAGACAAGTATTTACGCAGAGGGGGTTGCCTTTGCCTTCCTCTATGAAGGTCTTCCTTAGTGGGGTTTCAAGACAAGTATTTACGCAGAGGGGGTTGCCTTTGCCTTCCTCTATGAAGGTCTTCCTTAGTGGGGTTTCAAGACAAGTATTTACGCAGAGGGGGTTGCCTTTGCCTTCCTCTATGAAGGTCTTCCTTAGTGGGGTTTCAAGACAAGTATTTACGCAGAGGGGGTTGCCTTTGCCTTCCTCTATGAAGGTCTTCCTTAGTGGGGTTTCAAGACAAGTATTTACGCAGAGGGGGTTGCCTTTGCCTTCCTCTATGAAGGTCTTCCTTAGTGGGGTTTCAAGACAAGTATTTACGCAGAGGGGGTTGCCTTTGCCTTCCTCTATGAAGGTCTTCCTTAGTGGGGTTTCAAGACAAGTATTTAAGCAGAGGGGGGTTGCCTTTGCCTTCCTCTACGAAGGTCTTCCTTAGTGGTCTTTCAAGACAAGTATTTAAGCAGAGGGGGGTTGCCTTTGCCTTCCTCTATGAAGGTCTTCCTTAGTGGTCCCCACCCAAGTGCTGACCCTGTTTAGCTTCCGAGATCTGACAAAATCGAGCTATTCCACGCCGCCTCCCCTCCTGCTGCATGAACACATCTGGCAAAAATTCATTCAGAGCTGAAGTTTTACGATTTCGGTAGAATTATGAGTTTGGATGCCCAGAACCTGGATTTAACCAGGAAACTTGCTGAGTGGCTTCCAAAGAGATGCTAACCCTCACCTAACCTACCTCCCACTGTTGTGAGGACAATATGAGACGCTTACTTGTGACAGTCCCTGGGCTTCATCAAGGAAGGGTAGGGTAGAAATATGATAAGTAAACATCAGTAGAAGCAGGGTCATTTCATAGAAAAATTGGTGCAGGAGCTCATTAGCATAACGTTAGCATAATTTATTTGCATATGCCACACACCCTGACATCACCGGAAGCATGTCAGAAGGCAACACCCACCACTCAGGCTCCACTGGACTTTTTTGGATTGCTAGCTATTGGTGGTGGTGGGGAATGTGCAGATCTGTCCTCGCAGGGGAGGGAGCGCTTGTACCTGAATAAAACTTGGCGTTAAAGGTGCCACTGGACTGTTTTGGACCGGGGGGGCTGGGGGGGAGGCTCTGCAACTTACCTGGCTGCTTCTTGCTCTGACTGAGGGCTGCTGGGAGCAGGGGGTGGGGCTTGTTGCATGTGGCTGCCCCCTGGGCTTCTTACTGCCGGAGCTCCGCTCCTGTGCGCTCCTGCAGGAAATGACCCTGAATCACTGATTACGCAGTAAGAGGAATTCTTGCGGCGAGGGGTGAAGTTTGTGGCTGGGTGGGTATGGAAAAAAGGAAGCAGTTGTGATTCTGATTATGGTAATGTGGTGTTTAGGCATGATGTGAAGAATTCCCCACTTGAAACCCTGAGTTCAGGAGCGCAGCAATGAAAACTTCTGACAAACGCAACATTCAAAAGATGCAGGGGGAAAGGAGGGAATATGCGGGTCAGAACCCTGCTACGCATCAACCTGTGGGGAAATAATCACTAGAGAAGAGAGAGAAGAGATTGGATGTATACCGCTCCCTTCACTCGGAGTCTCAGAGCAGCTTCCAAACTCCTTTCCCTTCCCCTCCCAACAACGGACACCCTGTGAGGTAGGTGGGGCTGAGAGAGCTCTTTCCAGAGCTGTCCTTCAGAGAACGGCTCTAACAGAACTACGGCTTGCCCAAGGTCATCCAGCAGCTGCATGTGGAGGAGTGGGGAATCAAACCTGGTTCTCCCAGATTAGAATCCGCGCACTTAACCACTGCACCAAACTAGCTGCAAATAACTGTGGAGGCGGACGGTGGGACAAGCTCCTTAGCAGTTAGGAATCTCATCAATTGCCAGCAAACACCACCCGAAATATTCACAGGATTATAGGAGTTGTAAAACTGGAAGAGACTTAACAGTCAGCCACTCCAAACCCACATTCATACATCAGCAGCCTGAAAAGACAATTTCAACGGGCTTAGGTTGCAGTAGATCCGCATAGGATCGCCCTGCGTCTCGTCCTGTCCCACCACCCTGGCCACCCTGGCTGTGCCATGGGATGAGAGTGAGTGCAAAGAGAATAAAGTCTACAAATGAAAAGTATGCAGTCTCGGTTACTTATTTCTTTGAGATATTCACACACCATTTCCCTCAGCCTTGATAAGGTTTATATCATGGTGGTAACAACAACAACAACAACTGTGTGCTGTCAAGTTACCATGGAAAGCAGCGATCCCTAATGGGCTTTTCAAGGCAAGAGATGCTCAGTGCCTGCCTCTGTGCCATGACCTTGGGCTTCCTTGGTGGTCTCCTATCCAAGCACTAACAGTGGCTGACCCTGCCTGGACTAAGCGGGGCTCTTCAGGCTTCTATCACAGTATCAGAGCCCCAAATAATGAAATGTAAGTGGCAATAAGACCTCTGGTAAAAAGGTAAAGGTAAAGGTTTCCCTTGCTCGAAAGCCAGTCGAATTCGACTCTGGGAGGGCGATGCTCATGTTGAGGAAAAGACTAATTTATGGTTTTATATCTGCTACACACACACAACACATGGACTGTGAACACATCTGTATACCATGAGCCAAAGAAAGCTGTTTGCATCACCTACTGTGAGAGGTTTCACATAGGGAACACTTGCCTGCATTTTATGTTAATGTAGCTTGCACACATTCAGCTCAGAGCATTGTGGGAAGAAGAAGCACATGTTAGCCATTGTAAGCAGAACAACTAAGAGAAGGAAAATCCCCCATTACTGAAAAGACGAGATGTCACGGAGAACATGGACTGGATCTACATTTGAATTGCAGTTTCCTGTTTACGATGCCTTGGCAGCCTCGGAAAGACAAGAGTCATCTGTACTTCAAAGAGGATGCAGGAAGTCGACATTTCACACCTGGCCAGATGGCACTACATGAGATAGAGTTTAGTATTTCAAATATTGGCCCAACCCATAGAATACCTGTCCATT